CTACAGAACAGTGCAGGAGTGTGCCTTCAGTGCTTTGATTAATAATGGAGAAAATGGCATTAGAATATGACAAATTTGTTGGTTGGTTCAAATTTTTGCTGGAAATGCCATAAGGAGGTCTGAAACCATTGTGAAAATATTTATGCATATAAATGTTTCAGATTAGATTTTTTTTTCACTCGTTGCTAGGCAGAATTCATGGAGCACAATTGTGTCATCGACTTGACTGTTTTTTTTCCCTTTACATTCATTAATATTAAAAATAACTAAATAAATAAAGACAAAGGTTTTGATATCAGATGCGTATTTTATTGGATTTCTTGACAATTGTGCCCCTCATTGATTTGCAGTGCACACAATCCCCCACTGTTTGAACAGGGGTGTGGAGACTTCTTTTTGCGCTGTAGCTTCCCTCCGCTATCTTTCAAAATACATTGATTGGCTGAGTGGATTCTGCCAACAGAAATTAATGCTCAAGTGGCAGTATATACATCTACGACTGTGTTATTCTTAATTGCGTGAATTATTTTGGCAACGGGTGTCCTGTTTTTTAGACTTGAACACATGCCCTCAAAACTTCTGTGCCAGTGCCTGAAATGTGATATAGCATAATACTCTGTAATCATTATCCGTGGATGCACTGCATATACTATGAATATTTCAGATCCGATTTTATTGTTTAAGACAGCTGTTTGAATTGTAGTTACTTAACATTTGATTCTATTTAGGTGAGCCCCTTCCTGGAACCCAAACGTGGTCATTTCTCCTCATCTGACACATTCCAGTCACGTTCCTCTCATGAGGATTACCACTCAGAGCCTCAGGAAGGCGGCAGCAGCAACAATGGTGGTATATCCCCTGGGCAGAAGACAACCAACCAGCGAAACTCCTGGCAGGACCAGATGGAGAGCAATGCCAGAATGCACTTCCTCCAGGCGTATCCCATTGAAGAGCCTCTGCTATCTGATGACAGGGAACAAATGGCGATGGAGTATCGCAGGCAGTCTACGCTGCCTGCACAGCGCAGCCTGCTGCAGGAACAATACCGAGCCTTGCCCCTGCCTGTCAGGTCCAGTATCGATTCGGAGGTGGGAGGGAAACCTCGCAGCTTCACGCTACCCCGAGACAGTGGTCTCCACGCCATCCTGGCGGCCAACTCCGGCGCGTCAGATGAGAGAACACCTCGACACTACCAGCTGGAGCGGCCCAGAGAAATAGGTTAGATACCCTAAGACCATCTTTCCCAACCTTTAGTGAGCCAAGGCACGTATCTTACGTTGCAAAAATATGACAGAACACCCCCAAACAAAAGTTTCGCAAAGAATATATGAACTAAAATAATTATGACTTTTCCTCAGTTAACTCACAAATTTAATCACATCCAGTCCATGATGCACATTTGGTCCTGTTTTTTTTTCCAAATAGTTCAGGTTTGAGAGTTACTGTATTGTATATATTCAACCATATTGTTGTAGTGTGATCGTGATTAGCTGCACTGTATCATTTGGCATGTATTGCACGTACAATATATTGAGCTGCAAGCCAGGCGAAAATCAATAGAGCTACACAATTACCCCGAAGTATGCTACAGTGTAATTACACCACAGAATTAGTTAAGTAAATTAACATCGGGAGAAAACATCGCCTTCTGTAATGTTGTATTAATTTTTTATTCGCATTTCATTTTGAGTGAACAAATGTTAGAGGCCCACCAGGGCAATTTTCCAAGTGTGCTGCAGTTTAACGTTGTCCGTGATACACATTTATTCCGGCAGTCCACTCGCTCGCAAACACCCTTTTTTCCCACTGCTTTTTTTGTTTGTTTGGTTTCAAACCTCCTTTTGCTCTGCCTCAATCGAGTTGTCACAGCGCCTTCCGGCCATGTCTGGATGCTGTGGCCAGGATGAATCCTCTCTGCCATGTTAATGTTGAACTGTGAACAGGATAAAGAAACAAGCTTGGAGGCCCTTTCTCCATTGTCCTCATTTTTCTTTTGCTCATGTTCACTCTTTTTTTTGGGCGGGCATGGGAGGACAAAATAAAGCGAACTGTCATGCATTTATTACAAAGCTTCTCAGATAATTGGAGTAACAGCGTCATGCCATCAGAGGGCAGTGTGCGTGAATGAGAAGTTTATGGTAGCAGTACAGTAAACATACAGCACCATTGAGCAGGTTATAAAGATAATGTAGACATTGTAACACAGTGGTTACTCTACTTACGAACGTCTCCTCATACGAAATTTTCAAATTACGAAACGTCTCAACAGGAAAATGTCGCCTCTTGTTCCGAAAGAAATTTCAACATACGAAAGGTCAAAAAAAAAATATATATATATTATTGGCTGCTCCTCACAGCTCCAAGTTTCCTGAACGCAACATACGTATAGCTGCTCTGCCATTGGCTATTACCAAGCATCATCCTGGAATCCCATTGGCTAAGAGGGCATTACAGGAAAACATGTCTCTACTTAATTTGTGATGCTTAATTATTAGCGCCACAATCAAGATAATTTGTCATACAGAGTGATAAACTGATTGTCGCATTATTTTTTTCCCCCCATTTTGACACAAGAGATCCATTTAAAACGGGATTATTTTTGCTCTGAAGCAGGCGGCTCCTCTGTTTACTACTCTGTCTCCAGCATCATCCCACCCACATGATCCGATTGGTGAAACACTGTATTGGTTTTTTTAGGTTTAAAAGACATTTAATGAAATTGTTGGGTATCTCCTTGATGCCCCAAACTATTTTTGAAATAATAAAATGATGCATTCATCTTTTGAAGGGCGTGGACGAGACTTGAGGCTGCAGTCGGACTCGGTGGGGGATTTGTATCGAGCTCTGGAACACACCAGTCTGTCCACCTCAGCTGACCACCGGTCAACCAGTCGCCTGGAGTACAAACGCTCCTTTGTACGCAGGGCGAATGACCCCGTGCTCAACGACAAGCTACACCGCCTCCGCATCCTTCACAGTTCTCTCAATGTACTGGCACGTAGCTCAGGCATACCTCACAATTCGGCTTGATTATGCTTCAATAATGTCCGTTTTATTTTCTTGCAGAATGTCCCTCTTCAAGACACAAACCGCTCGTTGGGCTTTTTAGGCTGATACGTGGAACCACGCTGCCTCATTTGCAGGAGATGAAAAGGCAACAGAAAGCTTCATTTTTCTTCTTCCTTTTTCTTCTCCTCTCCCCTTTCAAGCATTTCTACTGAACGGTGTTACTCGCTCACATTCTTTCTGTAGTTTTAATGATGAGAACATTTGCTAAAGGTTGAGCACTGGTTTCAACTGGTTGGAAAAAAAAAAAAAGCACTTTGTGTCCCTGTCATGGACTTGATGGAGAGCGTCTTCACTCACATGCATGGCTGTTTCCCATCACTTTTGTTGGCATTGTGTGCAGCTGAACAGATCAGATTGACTATTTTGGATGTACACTCCGTTTTGTTATTTGTATAATTATTTATCTATATTAAGTATGGCGTTGCTACACAACCTCTTGAGGATATGTGCTGAAATACAAATAGTAAATCAAGTGCTGTGCCTCAGTGATTGTGAATGTACATTGTACTTTTCCAAGAATAATGAAAGAAGATGTAACGGCAAACAAGTTTCTCTTCAAATAGGGGTGAGAATATCACACTTGGCAATAAGGAAATTGTATTGTAAAATATCAAAGGGACGGTCACAATAGTTGTCTATTTTTGTATGCATGCAGTCTTTACAGTGGTGGCAAAGCAAAAAATATATATGTGTTAAATTCGGAGACGACTGCTCATCTCAACTGCCTCAACCTCAAGACTTAATTTTAAAAATCTAATTTCATTACGAAAGAGATGGGAATTAACTGTATTTATTAAGTGTTTAATGTACAAGCATGTTTTGTAATACTGTACTAAAACACGTGACCATGCCATTTAAGTGCACACGTGTGCCATATTGCTGTATTGTAGCTGCAATACTTTTATTTAATGATGGAAATAAAGTATGGCATAGGCACACTAAAACGTTGTAAAAATGTTTTTCCTCATAATTACATTTGAAGTGACTATTTTTAGACAATAGCCAAACAAAGGGGGTCAGAATAGGATGGATCAGGAGACAACATTCATGTGCTGTAAGAATTTAATTAAGCATGATCTTTATTTAAAGATTTTATATTTTAAAATATGCCCTGAAAAATCTCAAATCATCTTGCCACATAGAAATGAATGGAAGTGCCATCAATTCGTTCCAGCCTCCCCCCTTTTTTGTGTGTTATGTTTTTTTAAACAAAAAATATGAAGGAAGGAGGTACATTCAATCAATAAAAATTAAACTACAGCCACAAGTTGAACGCACACAGACTGTAGCTGATCAGCACCAAATACGTCTGAATAGTCTACGTCTGAATCCTTTAATTCTTTCTTTGCAGCATAACACAAGTGTAAGATCATTGATTCATGCACAAAATGTCCACTTTGAAAGAGACAAACAAAAAAGACAAAGTGCAATTTTAATCACACATCTATTTATTTATTTATTCTTTTATAAACATTTAAGATATATTAACCTGTGTGAGACATTTATTCACAAAGAAGTTTTCATATTGTTAAATATGATATTCATACACTGTTTAATACAAGAAGTAAAAGTAAAATAAGAATGCATGAGTTGTATCCCAAAATCATTACTTCAGTTTTGATAGAGCACTTTTACTTTCATACTGGTTTTAGGAAATAAGTATTGATTTAATTTTTGTGAATTGACATGCAACATATTGATTTGTTGCTTAAAAGAAGTCTACGCACAAAATCACATATAGACACATGTACCTGTATATTAAATTGTGTAGCAACAAATTATAGCAATGAAGAAATGAAAGTCACCTATCCTGGCATATTACAATTCGTAACATTAGCAAAAGAGTGGCCGTTTCGACATAAAAAAAAAAAAAAAAAAAAAAATCAAAAATATTTTTTGCTTATTAGTGAGTAAAAAAAAATAATAATAATGTCAGTTGTAATTACCTTCTGTGCTATCTTGGGTGGAAGGACCTTGTACTTAATACACAGCTACACAGCTTTATAATATGGACTCGAACAAGAGATGTCCCAAGTCCATAAAGCATTGGGTTGGTGACCGGTGGAATTACAGCAAAATATATTGACAAGAAGATGCGCGCCTCAATCGCCACATAACTCATATCGAATCTGTTCTGGATAACTTCAAATAAGGAACCAATGCTATAATTCAAAAAAGAACATAAATGCGGCAAGCAAGTTTTAAGAGCAATAACCTGAGACTCTTTCGATATTTTTCTACAAACTCGCAATATCTGTGCATAGGAGAAAACAATCAGGAAGAGCTGCGGGAAGACCAAGAACCCAATAAGCACGAGCCCAATAATACTTATGTGGGATGCATTCGAACACGCGTTTTTGACCAATTCCATGTTCACACAATACAGCTTTGCGATAACTTGCCCACAAAAACTCAGCTGCAGAGTGAGACTGAAAAAGCATCCAAATACAATGAATGGATAGATACCCACAAATGCAATCAGTTTGCCGGCTTTGGAAGGGGTCATGATGGCGTGATAGTGCAGCGGGGAACAGATGGCAACAAAGCGGTCGTAAGCCATAAGCGCTAGAATGCAAAACTCCGAAGCCGCGTATGTGTGCAGGAAGTAGACTTGAGCAATGCACGACTTGACACTGATCTCGTGTGTCTTGGACAGGAGTACTCCCATAACCGGAAGCAATAACACGCTGCACCCGTAGATCTCATTGAAGCACAGCATGCATGCAAACACATTCATGGGCTGGTGCAGCTGTTTGTTTTGGTGGATGACGGTGACCAAGAGTATATTCAGGAATATCGCAGCGACATAAAGCGAGAAGAAAAGAATAAAGAAAAGGTGCTTGTGGTTCTCCAGGGTTGCGTAGGCCGTCATGGTGAACGTTAGCGTCGTGGTGTTCTCCATCCTGAAAGGGAAGAGAAATGGTGATTACATATGAAGTGTATGCTAAACAATTTAAATACAGCATAAGCGAAATAGACTGCGGTAGATTGCGGATATTATCATGGTTCAGAGTACCTGTGATTGTGTCTTCTGCTCCATGCACCTAAGCTTGTCCTGTGCGAGCGTGGCTTTTTAAGATCACTCAAGGTGGGCTTGGTTTGCTGTTCGGGGATTCTGACACACAGTCTGATTCTTGTTACTATAGTCACACATCCCCCAAGGTCCCTTGACAGGTCCGGAATGAGTGGTTGGTTTACACTGCTCTTGGTTTACTGTACACCCACCACCTTTGTATTGGCTAAAACGCAACATATTCATCGTAAATCATTCTCGGAGCGCACAAAATGAAAACAATTCCATTGAATAAGTCTGTGGATGGGAATATCTACCGATTGACATTTCTACGCACAAGTAAAAGACAAGAAATGATAATGGAAACAACTATGGCGCATTTTTAGAGTAACTAAATGTTACTAGTAAGGCAAAACTGTCTGCGAGCACTACCAGCGATATACTAAAATTCTACTTAACATCTGGCACTACACTATAGGACTACTCGCATGAATACAGTATGTCAAGAAGTGCACAGTTTTGCCTCATTAGTTACATGTTGTTCAACTAATCCATCCAAGTCATTCTACAACTTCATAGAAATGTCATCCAGTCGTGGAAGGCAGCGGTGGGAACAACATCACCAATAAGACAGCCATTCTACTGGTGCCTCAGAGTCATTCCACTATAGTGCGTTGAATTGTCTTGCTAATGCATGCTCATGCATAGGCAATGTCAAAGGCTTGACCCTCAGGAGGTCGGACGGTATAAAAAACAAAACAAAAAAACCCAACCAAAAACGGATGGATGGAAAATAAGAGGCTTAATTAGTTTACGTTGGGGGCAATATAATTACGTTTGGGTATTTTTAAGGAGATTCCATTGAAAACACACCTTGATCTGGCTCGGTGAAAGTAGATGGAAGCACAGTTAGGGGGCGAGATGGTCTGCCCAACATCTCATCCCAACATCTGGGTCTCTGATGAACATCTCAAATTATTGATGCTATATAATCTAGAACGATGAATACTGTGGCCTGTGCTCTGCTCACACATAACTCTCTAGTCGTGGGTAGCCTAATAAACAAGATCATGAAACTCATTGAAGAGGTGACGCTTTTTTTAAAAGAGGCTACGAGATACAAATTTTCAGCTGCCTGTGTAAAATGGAATTTTAAGACACATGGTTGAGTTTACTGTTTTATTAGTAGGCCTACGGTTGCTTAACTCCTAAATAAGCAACGTATGTCAGGTCTCAATTTTCAGTTTTTACATCAGAAAGTTAAAAACAAAACAAAATGAAATAATTATATAAATAATATATATAAATTCAATGAATAAAAATGAGACAATAGTTACAAGTTAAACACGCCCCCCACACACACACACACTGTAGCTACTCAGCCCCAATACGACTAAAGAGGACTCCCAAGACGTGAGTTCTGTATCATTTCCTTCTTGACTTGAGATGAATTCAATGCTCCCCTGTGTTATCACTTGTTACATCACCGTTATATCAAAATATCACCCAAGTGTTGTCCATTCAACCAGGTAGGGTCTTGTTGTCCTAATTATGCGGTTCCTAATTGCTTCCAAAGGGATGGACAAGCTTCTAATGAGCACACTGTATGTGTTCTTGTAGCCATGGAGCTCCCTTAATTAATCAAACAAAGTGACAAAATGTGAACCAGTGGGGGCGGGGGGGGAAATGTAACAAATATGGAAAAATACACTTGCAACAACTACTCAGATATGAACTGAACTAAAATAGCCAAAATGAGCCCAGATTAAATTTGATTGATAATTACAACAATCTGCAGTGCATTTTTTTTTACATTTACCTCAACATTTCACGAAGCCATATTGCAGTGTTTGACGTTTAAGTAATGCACTTAGTGTCTGCTATCATTCACTGTCGCCTGACCTTAGTTTAGACGTCACAATCATTGAAGTGTTTAGGGATCTTAGCTGGTAAATCTTCTGTCATGATAATGAAAATGTGGGTCAGTTTATGTCAGCGGTGTCCCATATTCACATTTTATATCATTTATTTCTATGTTGATAGTATCATTCTTTCTTTATCTCATGAATTCATGCACATAATCTTCAGCTTGAGAGAAACCAATGAAGAAGTAGACAAAGTGCAATTTAAACATTTTTTTATTCTGGATCATAAATATCTGAGATGCACAGACCAGTGTCTCATAATTATTCACAAAGAAATTTTGACGTTGGTAAATGATGATAAAAGTATATACGCGCTGTTTAATACAAGAGGTAAAAAAAGTAACGCAAGTACAAATGCATGAGTTGTATCTGAAAGTCATTATTTCATTTTTGACAGAGCACATTGACTTTCATACCGGCTTTTGGAAATAATGGGTGATTTAATCTAAAATGGTGAAGATGAGTTAACAGAAAACGTGTCAATTTGTTGATTAAAAAAGATGCACACATTTATACAGATATAATATTGGAGCACTTACTAAAAAGGAAACCGCAGCTCATGTTTAGCATCACACCAGGCAGGATACGATTCATAGCAATAGCCAAAGAGTGGCTGTTTTGACCCGTAATTAAAAAAAAAAAAAATACAAAACATGTATTACCTGTTGGAAGTACAAGTCCCGATTATAATGACCCTCTTAGGCATCTTTGATGGTAGGGTCTTGTATTTAACACATAGCTTTATAATATGGATTCGAACAAGAGACTTTCCCAGTCCATAAATCAGCGGGTTGGTGACCGGTGCAACGACTGCAAAATACATGGACAAGAAGATCCGCACCTCAATGGCCACATGACTCATATCGAACCGATTCTGGACAATTTCAAAAAAACCGGCTACGGTAAAATTGAAAAAGGAACATAAATGCGGCAAGCAAGTTTTCAGAGCACTAACTTGAGAATCTTTCGATAATTTCTGAGTAACTCTTAATATTTGCACATAGGAGTAAACGATCAGGATCAGCTGAGGGCCGTCCATCACAGCTATAAGCGCAAGCCCCACAGGACTTATAAAGGATGGAATTGTACACGCGTTTTTGACCAGTTCCATGTTCACACAATACAGTTTTGCGATGACTTGCCCACAAAAACTCAGCTGCAGAGTGAGACTGAAAAAACATGTAAATGCACCTATTGGATAGAGGCCCGCGACTGCAATCAGTTTGATGACTTTGGAAGGGCTCATGTAGGTGTGATAGTGTAGAGGGGAAAAGATGGCAACAAAGCGGTCGTAAGCCATAAGCGCCAGGATGGAAAACTCAGCAGTTGCGTACGTGTGCAGGAAGTAGACTTGAGCAATGCACCACTTGACACTGATCTCATGTGTCTTGGACATGAGTATGCCCATAACTGGAATCAATAACATGGTGCAGCCGTAGATCTCATTGAAACATAACATACATGCAAACACATTCATGGGCTGGTGCAGCTGTTTGTTTCGGTGGATGACAGTGACAAAGAGTATGTTTAGGAACATAGCAGCGACATAAAGCAAGAAGAAAAGAATAAAGAAAAGGTGCTTGTGGTTCTCCAGGGTTGCGTAGGCCGTCATGGTGAACGTTAGCGTCGTGGTGTTCTCCATTCTGAAAGGGAAAAACAAAAAGAGAAATTGTCATGACACATGAATTGTATGGTAAACAATTTAAATACAGCATAAGAGAAGTAGACCGCAGTAGCTTTCAGATACTGTCATGGTTCAAGTACCTGTGGCAGTATCGTGCGCTCCGTGCACTGGCTTGTCCTGTGCAACGGCATCTTTTTAAGCGTACTCAAAGTGGGCTTGGTTTGCTGTCCGGGGATTCTGACACACAGTTTGATTCTTGTTACTATGGTCACGCAGGCGTCTTGTTCCTCAAGCTCCCTCGACACGTCCTTCCAGATATACACTGTTCTTGGTTTACTGTACACTAACTTTTTACAGTGTCTGCTAAATCACAATGTATTTTGCCACAAATCATTCTTGGAACACGCAAAATCAAACAATTTTCTTAAATAAGGCTGTGGATGGAAATTCCTACTGCATGAAATTTCTGTACACCAGTAAAACGACCAGGAATAGTAATGGAACGACTTGGGCATCGTTTTACAATAACTACCGGTACATGTTACTAGTGAGACAAAACTGCATCAGTTAGCACCACTAGTAAAGTACTAATATTCTACTTGTTAACATCTAGCACTTCACTATAGAACTAAGAGCATGAATACGCAATGTCAACGGGTGCACAGTTTTTGTCATGGTTCTGTCAGGCCTTTGTTTGTGTTTTGAATTTAGGTTTTCCAGCGTAACCCTGCAATTGTTTTTTGGGAATACATTTTATTCAGAACTCCGTGGTTCTCCTGCCTCCCTGCTTTTTTGGGGCCACTACCTTCAGGACAGGATGATCTGCAGGACTAGAGGCAATTGATCCTGTTACCACCTGGTTCCTGCGGTGCAAATCCGGCCGGCAGTCATCGCCTGTTCCTGCTCCAGCGTGGCACGTGCTGCGGCCGCCTCACGTTCCTGCTCCGGCGGCGCACGTCCTGCGGACGCCACACATTCCTGCTCCGGCGGTTCACATCCTACAGCCACCACGCATTTCTGCTCTGGTGGCGCACGTCCTACGAACCTACGAACGCCACCCGTTCCTGCTCCGGCGGTGCATGTCCTGCGGACGCCACACGTCCCTGTCCTGTGGCCGCCACTTGTCCCTGTCTGGGCGGCAGCATGGCTCAGGTAGTGGAGTGGTTGTCTCCCAACCAAAAGGTTGTGGTTTCGATTCTCATTCATCGTGACCATGTCATACAGCCCTTGAGCAAAATACTGAACCCCCAGTTGCTCTTGATGTTATCTCTCAGTAAAATGAGTAGACGGGATTGAAGTTCTTTGAGGACTTAAGGTAGAAAAGCGCCATACAAGTGAAAGCCCATTTAAAAATTTGGTAGTACACTTGCTAAATTCCCAAATAAGCAACTGTTGTTCGGCCTCAGTGTATTTTTTTAACTTAAAGTTGGAAAAAAAAAAACATTATTTTGTTTCCTAAGGGGGGAGGCTGGCAGGCCAAATGATGTCCCTTCATGTGAAGAAATAAACGTAGACGGTATTGAAGTTCTTTGAGGACTTAAGGTAGAAAAGTGCCATACAAGTGAAATCCCATTTAACAATTTGGAAGTACACTTGCTAAATCCCCAAATAAGCAACTCTTGTTAGGCCTCAGTGTATTTTTTAAATGTTAAAGTTGGGAAAAAAAAACATTAAGTATTTTTTTCCTAAGTGGGCAGGCTGGCAGGCCAAATGATGTCACTTCATGTGAAGACATAAACAAATGAGGTAAGAAAAAAAATAATCATCATCCTAGCAAAAAAAGAATGAACAATGGAAAAAAAACATTAAATCAAATCTGAACCTTTCATTACCACGATACTGTGTTAGATTCCCATGTTGTTTCCTGAACACATGATACACTTTAAACATGCTCATTAGAGCCCCTTTGTCCGCTCTGTTTTTAAGCCTTGTGGAGGCAATTAGCCTCCAGAGTGTTGGACAGTGCCTGGAGAATACAGATGATTGATGGGTATCATCATCCTAGCAAATAAAGAATGAACAATGAAAAAAAAACAAACATTTAATCAAATCTGAACCTTTCATTACCATGATACTGTGTTAGATTCCCATGTTGTTTCCTGAACACATGATACACTTTAAACATGCTCATTAGAGCCCCTTTGTCCGCTTTGTTTTTAAGCCTTGTGGAGGCAATTAGCCTCCAGAGTGTTGGACAGTGCCTGGAGAATACAGATGATTGATGGGTTGAAAACAAAGTTGGCCTCCCTTTGGAGAAGACTGATGTAACATTGATGAAAATGTTTCCAAAGGCCAGTGATCTTTGAACCAAGAAAAATAACTGATCCTTAATAGCTTTTACTTCTTTGTGATACTACAGCTTGGGTGGGCCCCCCGAGGACAGCCAATTATCGACAAACTGCAATGTTTGACATCTTCAAAGAAGTCATCTTTTCCTCATTTCTTCACTTTTTGGGGATAAAAGAACATGCTTGAAAATAAATGGAAAACAAAAATAATAATATTTGATATTTTTTACATGTGTATTGTACACTATTAACCATGAGCAATGCAGTCTATTTCAAGGACATCTGTGGCATTGAACTTTACATTGAGTGGATGTCAAATTGAACTAAGCCTACCATGTGTATGTTGTTTGCGAATAGATTCCTTGACCAAAAACACCAAATGCAAAAAGGCCAGACTTTTTGCACGGTTAAAATAAGGTGAGGACTGGACATCCCGTTTTAAAATCTGCGAAAATAAATATGCATGCCACATTGTTAATGTTTGTCTCATGACATTTAGTCACAAGTTGGCTGTGGTTCTCTTGTTTCTTTAAATTAGATTAAGAAAAGTATGTTGTCCAGGGATAGGCTACCGAGCATTCACTCCAATGGCCCGTTTGCTGCTTCTTATTACTGTTGTTCCTCCCTTTAGACCAAAATACGACCGAATCCTGACAAATCCTCATTTCGAAGCGACAGAAAGACGAAACAACAATGTCTTGTCATCGTGTGGTGATTTGGACCCTCTTGGTTGTTTTACTCCTCAATGGTAAGTGCTCGCATCTTATTTGATTGCTTTTGGAACTCATAAACCGTCAATTTTTGATTTTGTCTTAAATATTCAAAACCTGTTTGATTTCAGTTGTTGATAATGAGGCAGCCTCCTTTCCATGGTCATGCCCCAGCTTGAAAGGAATTTGTCGGAAAGTTTGCCTTCCAACAGAGCTATTCTTTGGACCTCTGGGTTGCGGAAAAGGCTTCCTGTGAGTGATGCACTTCACAATCACATAGAATGTGGGGCCTGTATTTATGAATGAAAGGTCGAATGTTATTATTTTCCAATTCTAGATGCTGCGTGTCTCATTTTCTATGAGCACGGTCGGGTGGAATGAGAGTCAAGCAATCCATGAAGAGAACATCAAGCATCCCCAAAAATGTAACAAAGACATTACTGTGTGGATCATCATTATTTGCCGATCTGTAACATTTTGAAATTTATGGGAAATTATGATCTTCATATTAAATTGCTGAAGCTTTTTGTTGTGTATTAACATGGCTAAAACTGGAGTAAAATACGACATTGAATATCACTGCTTGATTGAATTGTGTTCTTGTGGATTACCAGAAAAAAAGCTTGTAATATTTGTCTCTGGAGTGAACATATATATATGTTTTACCTCATACAACACAGCAAATGTTACACTTAGCCATCCATCCATTCATCCCGACTCCTGCGGCACCATATGAATATTGATTGCCACTGCCCTGAGATTTAAAATTTTGATTTTAGGTGCTCCGGTTTTCAAACCATACATATTATTACATATTCATAGGACCAAAATGTCAAATAAAGCGATATTTTTGTCTTCATTAGCATATTTAGTATTGGAGTATCCAAAAGTAATTAAAGGTAATCAAGTTACATGACTTTAATAATATGGTACTTGTATTATGTCACTTAGATATAACAACTAGTACTGTAACTGTACAAAGTAACCCTCCCAACGCTGAGGTTTAATATACTGTAATTAAACAGAAAAAAAAGTTTAAACCAGGACCACAATTGCTGTTTCCACATAGATCCGCAAGTCAGCGCTGTGGTGCATGTTGCTTGCATGAGTCAATTTATGATAACACAAAGAAGAGCCAAGGCAGAAGTGGGCCTGCAATAACAAACAAACCAAGTAAGCTACTAGCAAGGGAACACACCTTCAGACAACCGTTGCAATCTTGTCGTTTTTACGACAGATGAACAAATCGTCCTTCTATATTCTCTCAACCGTATGCTCTTACGTGCGCAAGTGCTGTATTTTAGACATCGAGTACTCTGTCGCGGAGAGGATTTAACTGTTATCTAACGTTTACCAAAACAAGTTGCGCATCAGCTAGCGCTAATCCATCTTGGCAATCGTTTTCGCGTACACAGACAAGACTTCGGCTGCTAGATTGTCAAGTAACTGCTGATTTTACAAAGTGCCATGTGAGAAAACAAACGGTAAATCTGGGACCCATCTTGAAGGTGCCGCGATTAACAAGTTATCGAGGTAAGTAGCTAATTAGCCACAATGCTAGTCACTTTCCGTGTTTGGCATGAATTGTGCAAATGTCTGACAGATTAATTTTTTTTAAGTTCCGTTGCTGAATCTTCAAGCTGGCGAGTTCAATATTGAAAGAGTGCATTTGTGGGGAGCACTGCATTTCCTGTTGGCAGCTACACGCAATTACGTCAAGTCGTTTCAAGCGTGTATCTCAGTACTGTACCCACGATTGTCTCACCCACCCTCCAAAAAAAGTATTTATAGTTGTCTGACAATGAATGAAAAATGCACAGCTAAAACACGTTGTCTTTTCTTCGTCTGTTGGATCCTAATTTTCCATTTTAAGTAATAACCCGGTGTAATTTTTGCAGATTTGTTCATGCGTCTGAATGTAGTTGCGCGAGTATTTTAATACAAGCTTACAACCAAACTGTGGGATGATCTTCAGATTCAACCATGATCAATTGTGCCTTTTACTTGGACTTACTTAATCACCA